GGCCAAAATACCTGCTGAGAGGTTCACAAGTCTTGTTGACAGTTACACAAATCCTTTGATTGCAGTGATCGCCTCAAAAGGTTGTGCAACTAAATATTAAGTTAAGGGTACCATCATTTTTGTCCAGGCCTGTTTCATGATTTTATTTTTTTTAATTATTCTGTTCAACCACAGTTCAAAAGCAATGTCTGATTTTCATTGGTTAATTTTCATAGAATTTTTATTTATTAATACTTTTGTCAGATTCAAGTTATTTTTTTGACTATTGTGGGTTTTTCTTTCATTAACCGAGGGGTACCAACTATTTTGTCCACGTGTGTAACGTCCTCGATCACCATGATAAGTTCTGCTGCAGAGCTAACCTGGTTTAGAGCAGGTTATATTCAGAGTTTTGGATTTAAATCATCTGGAAGAAGCATCTCCCTTTAATAAAACAGTTTACTGACAATTCTTAGTGATATTAGTGATACAGATTCTAAGCTGAGAAAATGTTATATCCACAAACCTGTTAAGCTGTATTTTACTGATCCCACTAAATGAAGCTGTGAAGCTGCATTATTACATATTGTGTACTTTGTATTGCCATGTGTTCAGCTAGTAATGCATAAATCACATAAATAAGCTTTGTTTTGTTTTGTTTTTGTCCATTTACTCTGCTGGTACTGCAGCTGATAGAACACCGATTAGGAACTGGATTATTCTACTGGTATTTATTACAGAGAATATTCAATCAATAACATTAATTGCACATTGATTCTGCCAAAACATAAAGTGATATCCTTCATTATGGGACACTGTCAGCTCTAAACACACTTCAGTGCAATATGATTAAATATATTAAAAGTTTAACAGCTTTAATGTGCAGCTGTCAGTAAGAAATAAGCGGCTGCATTGATCAGTTAAACAAATATATTACGCACATTTAACAGTTTTCTGCCAGAATTCCTGTATTGCATCCTTTGCAGTAGCTGTGCTTGTTAATGTCAAAATCGTATATATCCTTCATAGTTCTCCATTATAACAACCTTTTGACTACAGTGGGCGGGACACAATAATTCATTATTTGCGGAGGAAGAGTCACATCATGAGTTAAACGCCTCCTTTTGTGTGAACAGAGTCTGAAACAGAAAGCCAGAGTGGACAAAGAAAGTAGATAACCACCACTGACTGAGGTTTTAGTGTTTGTCAAGAAGACTTGATGAAATGAAAAATCAATGAAAGTCTTGCTTCGTAGGAGAGCATTCACATACAAGCAATGACCAAGCATCAGCAACCAAAACACCTTGAGTTTACCATCATCTAAAACTAATAAAATGTACCAATATTCACAACATGTCACAAGTGTTGTATAAAGTAGCATAAATTGGAGACACCCAAGTGTTACACTTCAGAATTACTTTTACTGAATTACTTTCCATTGAGTGTCAGTCTCTGGGTAGCAGCAGTAGAGTTGGTTAGTTGATTAACCAAGTATTAGATCAACTGACATTTAAAACAACAGCTGTTTTGATGGTTGAATCACTCTGTCGTTTTCTTTTCTGTTCTTGTCAGGATTTAATGCCTTTTCTTTTTTCTTTTTTTACAGTAATAAACTAAATATCTTCGGGTTAGCTCGACAAACCAAGGCATATGATTACAGTACCATGGACAGTGGCTAATTTTAATCAGCATTTCTCTTTATTGTCTCGTGATTAGTTCGTAGAATGATGTAGACAGTTACTACTTTCAGCCCTAAACGCAAGCAACAACAAACTTTACCCACACAGGCAGGACAAGGCTTCCATCTAAATGTATTCTGACAGAAACAGAGCGACATCCCTTAATTTCACCTTCACAACATTCCTCCTCCAACCTCCGTGTCCACCTTTACGCTTCTCACACCACGCTGCAGCAGCTGTCACTTCACTGTTGACCTGTGTGCTAACAGCTACATGCGGGCTGCTAACCGGCGAGTTAACTTTTCAAACACTGCCATGGTCACAGAGAGATTTCGGTGAGTGCGGGCGAGTGAAACACGCAGGAAATAAGCTGTAAGACCTCTGCCAGTGTTTAAATGGACAACTTCATCAGTGAAACTAATGCTAACGCTAGAGCAGCTAGCACACTTACCAGCGACTGGAGTTCGGTCTCTCTCGCTTGTCCGACCAACACACGTTTTGTTCCCCGGGTCCTAAAGCCGGTACGCTTCCGAGTCATGTGTGGAGGCTCATTTCACCAGTAATAGAAGTATAAAGTTAGTCAATATTTAAAAATAAATAAATAAATGCATGAATTTAAAAAGTAGAGAAAAACATTTTAGGTCATTGCAAAAAATCACGATTTTGACATTTTATCTCTTCATTTTGTCACTGCGCATGATCAGTAAAATCTCCTTTTAAAATTGTATCACCTCTTAATAATGACATTATTTCTAAGCTGAACAGTGGAGTATTCCACCTTTTAATAAAGTGCCTCTCAAACACTCAAAAATAAAGGTGGACATATAAAGTATTGGAAAAATAAAAGATATAATTCTTAGTAATGAAAGGTATAAGGATTTTTGGTGCATTGCATTCCAACTGCGGAGCCTGTATTTTTATTAAAGTTAATCTAAACTGTTAGTTTTTCATTTTAAATTATTGCACATTTTCTAAGGAAGGATGTAAGAACAGTGGAGACACACAAGGATTCAAACTAAACTAAAACAAGAAACAGAATTACAATACATCAAAGATCATGACAATTTAAACTCACTTTTTTTGAACACAGTGTCAACTGGAAATCTGCAGCGACCAATCGGAGAACAATCTCAGGTCACCTGCCTGCTAAATCCATCCATCCATCTTGGTTGAGATGTGTTAAAAGCCTTCAAATAAATTCAATTTTCATTGCAGAAGCATAGTCTCACACTGAAAATTGTAGAAAAATGTAACCTTCAACTCAACTCAAATGAATTGTTGGTAAAAGGGGGTTGTACAAAGTATTGACATCAAGGGTGCTCGTAATTGTGGCACACATGATTTGATGTAAAAGAATTATTTTTTAATGTGGGATTTTTTTCACACTGATGAAATGCACTTGAATTAAAGGTTGAATTTTCCTCCTTTTGTCATTGTGGTGCTATATTATTTAGAAAAAAACTGAATTTACTAGAAG